TGAACCCCTGTTTGCTCAGGGGTATTTCCGAACCCGATTCCCCACGTGAGAATCACCTCTGTAAGGTATTTCTTACTACAGAAGCTTGGTTCCTACAGTCAAATACCAGCCTGGTAAAGCAGATGCAATCCACAGCAATCAGGATATCTGCGCTTGCTGACACCAGGTCTTGGCTGGCACCTTACTCGGAGCCACATTCCACAACAGAGGAGTCACACTCATGAGCCACCACTGCGAAAATACACGCAGAGATTTCACAAGCGCTTGCAAACGCACCTGCCCACGCACATGGAAATGATGATGTACAGCATCTACCAACAGCTTGGCACAAAGCATGTTCTGGCACTCTTCAAAACAAAGATACCACAAGTAAAGAGGGCAATCTCCAGGGGAAGCTGGGTTTTACCTTAATGTTTGTGTCCAGAGAGCCAGACGCCACAAAGCTTCCAAAAGGGTGGAAATCGAGGCTGCAGATATTCGCTTTGTGACCAAGTAAGGTACGAAGAACTGAGAAAAGGAGCAGCAGATCAGGAAGAAGGAATAGGGAGCAAATATTTAGTAGCTCATTTCCCCCAGACACAATGCGGAAGTTTAGCCATACCATCTTCACCATTAAGCACATGCTAACACAGCATACATTAGACATGCTACATACGTGTATTCATCTATAGACGTTACTTTATGGAAACCTTTCCGACTTTACCCTTGCAGTGCAAAGGAACAACAACAGCGGGACAGTGTTCAATGATCCCAATGAAAGTCCTGTCCTTAGGCGTGGAAACTATGAATAAAACACCAGATATCTCCATTCTAAAAAGAAAACTAAAAAGCCCTACTTTGAGGCAGCTGTCAGGCAGTGTGTCCTTCCCCTTGCCACAAAGGGAGCAAAATGGGGGGAAAGGACAGTTTTAGCCAGGAAGTGAAAGGGACGTTTGACTGCCTGCATCGTTCACCCCACAGCTATTAGACCCTCTCCCCGAGACCCTGAACCCCCATTCAGGCACAAGCCCGACTTCTACCTCTTAGGTTCCAATATTCACCCTGGACTCCTTCAATTGCCTCGTGCAAGAAGCATCCCAAAGACCAGGAAAGGATGCTTAGGAAGCATGAGACAAAGAAATAATCTCAGTGTTTCAGCAAGTCATCAACCGAGTAACACCCCTTGTCATTCTGGAAACCGGAAAGGACCAGTAGAACTGGTACACCATATCTCTGAAAGCAGAGACAAACACAGAACTCCGAGGATGAAAAATTGCTCAGATAATAACAAGGGCAATCTCTCTCCATCATCCGTCACCTGGAACATGGTTCCCCTGGCAGAAATTGGCTCTCGTGCCAGACCTGGAATGGTCACTTGCACAGACACTGGCTCATAGGGCTCCTAATAAATTCAGCCACATCAGTTACACTCCACTGGTAGAGCCAAGCTATTTTATAACTGAACTGATTCTAACTGTCTGGATGACAAAAGTGCTTTTTATTATTTGTGCCACCTGCTGCTTGCCTTCTGAGCTCAGCCAGTCTAAGTCCACTTTCATTACACGTTCTTTCTATGAACA